ATGACGGACATCATCAGAGCGAGGTAACATCGTCACAACAAAATTGAAGCTAACGAGTCAAGAAAACTCATCGGCAAATCCCTAAAAAGTGGTATACATACTCTACATCTGGCCTTTTTGATCAAATTGACATATGACCTTAACTAACCAAATTACTTTATACTTGATCAAAGAGGCCAGATGTAGAGTATGTAAACCACTTTTTCGGGATTCGCCGGTGAGTTTTCTTGACTCGCTAGCTTTAATTTTGTTGTGACGATGATGCTTCGCTCTGATGATGTTCGTCACATGACGGACGAAAGCTTAGCACCTTTTCACCGGAATCGAAGGAGATTGCCTCGGAAACAGCATCAGCACGAATCTTCCAGTAAAGTTAATCGACAGCTGGTCAAGAGGAATCGGCCGTCGTCTTCTGGTGGAACCGACTTTCGAATCTATTCACGCAACACTTTACTCGAAATGGTTGTGCTCGATTGTTTGGTGGGAAGTTTCAGCTTTCCACCTTTACATAACCCAAAGAGGCTGGTTTTTGTCTCTGCTACACACTTGGATACAATGACGTGTGGCTATTTGCGAAATCTCCTTTTTGGTGTAGAGCTCGGCGACCGCGCAGGCCGCGGGAGTGCAGCCTGACCGGCTGGAGAGGGCCAGATCGGCGTCAGGGTGGGGGAGGCGGCGGCACGACGACCCGCCTCCCGGAGCCGGGCACGGAGCAGAGGGTCAGACCGCGCTGGTGTCCGCCTCGTCCGGCGCAGCAAAGGGTGATGGGCGTCTGGTGTTGGTGCTTCTCAGACCGGTCCGACGGCGGCCCGGTTTCGGCCGACGCCTTGGCGGCTCTGCCGCCGCGGACGATCCGGCGGATGGCCGCGACTCGGACGTCGACGCGGAGCCGTCGACACGACGAGTCGTCCGGAGGCAGTGCCGCCAGCAGCCCGGCTGCCTGGCCGGTCTGTTGGCGCTCGGCTTGCTCGTCTGCCTCCTCCTCGCCGCGCATCACTTCCTCTCGCCCTTCACGCGACTCGCACTCACCTCCCAGCCCGGTCCGGCCGCCGCTCTCCGGCCCCACCACGCCAGCGTCCGAACTCAGCTGACGCCGACGGCAACGGCGACGCCGACGCCGACTGCCTGGCTCGCGGCGCCTCTCCACGCCCTGTCGTTGATCGACGCGGTCTCCTCGACTAGCCAGCCTCTGTTGTCGGCTTGTCTGCGCGCCGGACGAGCCGTCTCGGCCGACCTGATCCGGGATCAGGCGGCTCGGCTCAATTCGGTCTGGATCAACGGTTGGGCGAGGCGACAGGAGCTCAGTTTGCGCAGGCGCATGCTCGCCTACGCGGCTCGTTTTAGAAAAGAAATGGTTAGTCGACCTCACTTCCAAGCCGCCAAAGGCTACAGACGCACTTTATAGCTTCTTTTTGATGGTTTGCCAGTGACCCATCGCACATGGCAACAGTGCATGCGCACAATACAATTTCATACAACCGCCAGCCCCTTCATTGGATGCCTAAATGACTAACGAATTAATTACAACTTGAAATTAATAAACCAATAC